AACAGTCAGAGAAGTTCGAATTGCATGAAATCATTCGCTATTACACATAAATGACTATTTCAACATCCTTATGATCCAGTCTTTAGCCAGCTCGCTTTAAAAGACTTGAATAAGGTCAATTTCTGTGGGAGCTGATCTCTTGGAATGACCACGCAAATTTTAACATGGACACAGACACTAGCCCAGTCAATGGTAGAGGTTTGTAGGCTGGTAGTAGCTGTCCCTTGCTACGCTCGAAGTTTATTCACAGACAGCTCCATCCTTCACTAATTATTATTTCGTTCACCTACTACCGCTGCTGTCTGCCAGCTTGATTGATGGTATGTGAACTAGCCTCCATCGTATGCACCGCTAAACCATACTCGTCACTCACTACTGTGTGTGGTGCCGTTACTGTTTCCAAATTGTGCTTGTGAAATTAATAGTCCCCACTTGACTCCAATGCTTATTTTGAATTTTGCTTCAGTATTCTCCCTAAAATCTTCCAAAGCGAATAGAATGCTACTTGAACTTGTGAGAATAATTCTTGATATTTTACGGGCATCGATTCACGATTTCCTCACTGAAACAGAATCATCCTGGAAAAAGATGCAGAAGAATCTGTGTAATTGATTAAATGTTATTTCAACCATATACAAAAAACTATCAATGGTCCCCACGTCTGTTGAACTGTAGAGTCACTAATGCAAGGTTTGTTCCATAGGCTCGCCATCTACTGACAGAGGACAATGCTCTAGCTCACATGATCTCGCGACTGTTGCTCACTGTGCTGGACAACAGCGAAACACTGCCTGGCATCTACGATGCACGGCGTGGCTACAGGACGCTTTTCACACAGTTCTGTGGCGACGGACTCGACTCGCCATCAGCTGCGCTACCCACCCTGTTGGCATCGCGCTTCCGAGCCTTGCGCAACGCCAATGTCAAAGCCTGGGATCAGGCCAAAGAGGCTGTCGAAGCAGCCAGTGGTGGCGGCAGCAATGACTATCTGATGACCTTCCACTGGCGCCACTCGCCCATCGAACTGCCCGCCTTCAACCCCTTTGAACGCCTTCTTCACACCACTTGCGACGACCTGCACTATCTCCTCACCAGCTTACTCAATGTAAGACCCCTGCCTGGATGGTGGGAGACCAAAGCCAGGAAACACTTCCTCTGCTTCTTCCACAAATTCCTTAAGCTTCTCTGCTACACGCAGGTACGTGCTGTCAGTTTATATGTGATAGGGAAAAATCGTGGTTTCCAAGTGTAAATGGCAGGCTTCGTTACACTAAGGAGCTTGAGAGCACCTAGTCTGTTTTTCTAATATTTTAACGGGTTCCGAGACGGAACTTTGAAAGCAATTTTCATCAACCCAATTCTAATTCTGGTGTCAATAGGCTATTTGTCTTGCAACATTTTAGGGTATAACTCTAAAAAAAGTCGATTATTGCGCTCGGGATGTTTATATATTTTTCAAAACTGTTGTTTTGCTCCTCAAATAAAGCCGCACTGACAAACGCCAAAATTGTCACTTTACCTACATAAAACAGGAGCAGGTCGATTTTGAGACGACAGCAGAAAGGGAGCCACAATTGTTGAAAGAATAAGCGATTCCCTGAAGATTGACGACGATTTTGATTTTGGCGGGTATAATTTGCAATTGTTTGAAGTCCCAATGCAAATAAGTCATCTGCTTTATTAAAGTACGACGCAAATGGAATGATAATTAGGCTGCAGGTTATTTTGCATGCATAAAAACACCCCCTTTCCACTTCCTGAGTAAGAATAATCCAGTTCCATTTTATTGTTGTTAAAAATGTATTTGCTGTCTTCATCCGCACAAACGTAAAGTGACTAAATGAAAACATCCCATTCAATACGACAGTGATTTAGGTATTCAGGTATTGCTTCGGACACGTGATTTAAAAGTCGTAGATTTACGAGGAAAAAGCAGCGGCCAAGTTGTTTGCATGTGACTAGCTTCTTGTAAGCACCATTGTTCCTCTTCTCCAAAGAAAATGGTGAAACGCTTGCACTCAGTACTGCAGTTATGAGTCTGCCTAGTGCCTATCCAAAATGTCGTGTGGTGGTTCTGTAGCGTTTTTATTGAGTGTGTTGAAAGTAGCATCGCTTAGTAATGTAGCTGCGAAGATTACGCCTTACATGAAACCAACCCGGGTCACAAGTGTGGCAGCATTCAAATACGAGTAATTGTCTCTCCTTACAATTCTTGATTAATCCTGTCTTATATGATTTTAAACATGTAGAGAAAGGTTCCATTTCGATGTCAATTAAGTAATCTTTCCTTTCATGTGCTTTTTGTAGGATATGAACGGCCTTTTGCGAGCTACTCAAGCTCATGTGGAGGTGGAGCAAGAATGGATAAGCACCTTCAAGATGTTGTCTCACCTTCACCACAACCTCCAACTCGTTGTCCAAGTGGCCAGTTCTGATAAAGAACTCCTTCTCGAGGCCATTAAATCTACTATAGACGTTCGTTTTATCCCGCAGTCCTACACCACTTTTTGTATTTTGATTCCTTACTTCCTTTTATGTAGGTCTTTGAACGACGCATTGCCGTAATCGACCGGTGTTTCTATGTGGGAGAGTTTGACGGACCCTACACTTCTCCACGTGACATTGATACTATGAGAGCGCAGTGCCTGGGGGCCACATCAGCTGTTTACGACTACGACATCTTGACACTGCGATTCAGTGTGATGCAACCCCTTCCACGGCTTCTAGCCGCTCTTTTTGGACATGCGCTTGAAATGGGTCTTCCGTTAAGTAGAATTGGTTTTGCTGATAAGGTTAGTCATGCCCAATGCTCCCTGTTTCATTGTCCTTTTGTGTGACTGTTCAGTTGACTTAACTTCAAGGGAGATATCATCCATGAAACAGCAGAACTATTCGATCTTTTGATTGTTGACTTGCATTTTTGCAGTGTGTTAAAGGGTTTTTTTGGATAGGAGTTCGCCAATCTAGTCATCGAGCGTCCACTTCAAAACATCGCATTTATCGCCCAGTGCTCAGCTAATCTTTGGGTCAGAAATGGGCAGATGATTCGAAACATTGTAAGTTCAGTCTCGTATTTTTCCATTTTTATTTTACCACGCCTATTCTGGTGGTTTATTGTTCTACATAACTCTTCAGATCTACAACATGTATGAGGGCCTTCGAGCAGAGATAGTTGATCGGGATTACCAACTTCTCCAACAAGCAGCGGCTGTTATACCACCGGACGAGTTTATTGTTCGACTCATTCACAAATTAAATCTCCTCGAGTTTATGAAGTACGTGCTACTCGTTCTCTACACACCTGTACTAGCGCAAGGCAGGCTTGCTCACTGTATGATTAATGTTTTCCCTCCTCCCTCAGTGAGGATCAAACCTCCATCAAACCGGGTCGCGTTCAATTCCTCGAGACGCTTCTTCGTACCCTTCTCTACCTGGTAACTCATCGCACAACTGTTGGAGTGGGTTACTTCGATCCCAAGGTCTACGCGTCGGCGCCCTCCTCTGCCTCCCTCTTTCCCGATGCCAAGCTGGGCGAAGTTGACGAGGTACTAGAGGTGAACTACGGCCAACTCCTCGACGACGTAGTCCACGCACTTTGCATCAAACCCATGACGCACTCCAAGCTTCTCTCTGTTCTACCTCCTCAAGCTCCAGGCTGTTTGTTGCGCAAGGCTCCGCCCTATCCTCGGCTCGAAACGGATGCGTCGGGTTCTCCTAGCACCTGGTCAGGTTCTTGGAGAGACAGCGTTGAGGAACCACTTTCGAGGATCCTCCAACAGGTTGCGACTCTTGCCACCTGTGGTACCAAGAGAGTGTACACCATCAAACCAGAGGTTATCGTAAATAGGTTTAATCGTTTCTACTATGGTTATAAACAGACGGAGCAGACTATGGTGAGTGCCACGTGATTGTGCGTGCGGGATCCAATTGCTATTGAGCTCTGTAACCACCACCTTTGTGTCATGCTTGCCTAGGCTGAGGAGTACGTGACACGAGTGCTGAAGCACTGGTCGCAGAAGTCGGGCGATCCAGCGGGTACTCGATGTCTGCAGCTTCCCACTCCGCCTCCACTGCCGCGACCGCGACGGCGCTTTGTGGCTGCAGTGGAGAGGGGCCTTTTACAGGTAGTGCGGTGCACCACCTTCGTGCGACTTCTTCGCCGACTTCTTGGCGTTGCGGTGGTTCACAACCCTGCACAGTCCTGGTGGTCGGAGACACTTACTGAACTCGTTCTCCACCTCATTGCTGCGGCTCTTTATGAGGACGCGATCACTTTTTCGTGAGTTTTTCTGCACCAATTCTTCGAATTCTTTGCTTTAAAAAATATCGTTCTCAGAGTTCCAAATTTCCGATGCCGTGATTGATCTCTACTTTTGGCTCTTTGGACCATTTTAAATAAGTTTTTACGATTGACCGCTAATTCTAGTTAATTTTGAGATCATTTTGTCTCTATACTGGAATCTATTTAGGTTTTAGCAACTATCACCAGTATCCAGTTGCTAGGGCTGAAATGCTTGTTCTATACCAGTTCTTTATCTGTATTTTCTTCCTTATTTAGGCATTTATATCTATGCTTACAAAGGATATGTAGCACTATGGTGGTCTTATATGAATGGCGCATGCTTTTACTGCGTCGATATGTTTGTTAATAGATGCATCAACCGTATCTATTTCTAACCTCTATAAATTCAATACCAACGAAGGTGACTAAACTTAATGTTAGATTAAAGTATTTTTTTCTAACACAAATTCCTCTTCATTGATCTCGACGATTGGTAAAAATGAGTATCTGGTGATTGTGAAGAAACACTGCTAATCATTGCACACAAGGCACTAGCAAAGGAAAAAGACAGTCACGCAAAAAGTCTTACTTATTTTCTCACTTGGGTTGTAAAACTAGGAGTGAATTACCATGGGTCAGATTTTTGCAATTTCTCTGCCATTATACAGAGCGATAGGTCGTCGGCCCTTCCTGGAAGCTGTGGCACGGGTGCCGATCGAGAAGGAGACGCCGGAGGAATTGCAGCGATTAGCCGCTTCTCGACACTGGACCAAAACGGGAATAGATAGGGGGTCTGACCTGGAACTCTCAACCGAAAAGTAGGTGGTGTTCTTCTGTGCTTTTTTGTGGTTAATGTTTTCGGTATTCTGTTTATTTACTTTTTTTTCTTGAAGTAACTGTATTCTCTCGCGGCTGTTGGATCTGCAGGACGACCGAATGGATCCCAAGGTGGCCCATTTAGCAAAGTATGTGCTCCATGATTGTGTGTTTGCCTGTGCGTCTTTGTGTATATGTAGCCTCCTCTCCACTTAGGTGGACCATAGATCTATGGTATGATGTGGCTGCTAAGCCACAAGGTGAGGCTTCCACAGGTCTGACTGCCATGGAAGTCGAAAATTTGGTGAGTTAGATCTATTTCAAGTATGTGCATAGTCTGTAGTGAAGAATTGGTTCCACGTTCACATAGTGTTTAATTCTCATAGGAATCGGAGGAGTCCAAGAAGCAGCAAATGTTGGAGGCTAAACAGCGTCGGCGAGCTAAAATCATGGCACAGATGTCAAAAATGCAGCAGAAATTCATCGAGAAGCACTTCAAAGAGATCTCCAGTGCCAGTGATAACGACCAGCAGATGGTTAGGCCCTCCATCCATCATATGCACCACCTTTTTTAAGTCTCCTCGGTTGTGTGATTTACCTGAGTTTCGCTCTTTTGTAGGAAACAGCGGATTCCTTATCCTCGAGCTCTAATAACTACCTATCTCTTGACGAGGCCGTGACCAACGCCTCCTTCACCACCTTCAGCGCTCTAGGTCCGAATCGTGTGGAGGAGCGCATTTCTCAAGTGCTGGCTAATGAAAAGCCTCTAGTCACGTGTGTGCTTTGTCTGGTGAGTTTATTGTTACCCCTCCTTAATCTTACCCGCTATTTTTTTGTTCTCATTGCTCTACAAACCTCTGGTTCCTCCTTTTTCACTCTTGTAGGATGAGGTGCCAGAGGAGGAGAGGCATCACATGGTGATTGCCGCATATGGCAGTCGTTCTAACGTTCTCTCGGTCCCCCTGCCTCATGGTCAAGCTGTTGATTTTGCCACCGGTGTCTGCAGGCCCGATTGCGTGAGGGTTTACTCCCACTTTCATTTACATAGAATCATTTCCAATTTTTGTATTCTAAAGCATTGAGGTATTTTATTAATTGATAGTGTTGCCAATTCATTCTAATTCAGCAAAGTGCGTTGAAATGTAGGGTTATAAATCCATTTTTCATTAATGGTGAACAGCGATCAATATTAAAAATTATTCCTTTTTAATAGCTGATGGTTTGTAAGCTTGGTGTTATTTCGAATAATATGTCTTTTTCTTTGAAAGTTCCTGGGTTCCTATTCTTCTTCAGACCGAGCAGACGTTGGCGGGGATTGCTACAACAGCAGTGGCCGCCTCAATAGGTAGTCACGAAGTCGTTCTGACACAATTGCCATACCTTCTTAGCAATTTAACCCCTGGTGCACATCCGGGCAACAACGGTGGAGCCTACGCCACCCAATCCTCACGTGAGTGATTAATATGCAACTGAAGGAGAATGTTTTCTTTGTGCCGGATACTTAGAGTGACATAATCCCCTCCATTTAACAGCCTCCATGGCAGGAAGTAGTCAGTCGTCGGAGCCGGTGTCTTGGACAAAGAAATCAGATGTGCTTGATCCCTGGTTCCAGCGCCCTCTCATCTCTAGTAGGTGTCCCGTGGGAGAGGAGGGTACATTCATATCCACCTGTCCTCACTCCATGCACGCCACTTGCAAGGAGCGGTACTCAGAGCGGTTGAAAGAGCAAAACGATGATATGCGACAGTACGTAACCTTTGATTTTAACCTACTCGAATTTATTTTTTATTCCGTTGACACGCTGATCAATATTAGTCTCTGCATTCTCGTAGGCACAGATATTCTCACAGACCACCCATGTACGAGTTTCGCTGCTCTCTTTGCCGTTGTCTTGCCAATTTCGACTTTCCAGTTTTCGAGCGTCTGCAGGACTCGGTGCCCACCGAATGGTTATCAAGGTGTCTCCAAAGGCCTACTGATTTGGCTTCTTGGCTGAGGAACCTCCATGAATGGCTTAATGAGTCTCCAAAGCTGTCCACATCAATCAACCTCAAAGTGAACTTTAGTATCACTGAAGTTTGTCATATATTTTTTTTTCATCCTAGCATTTCAGATTAGGTTTTAATTTTTCTTTTTTGTTCTTGTGTCCCCCTTACCCGTATCAGCTTTCGAACGTACCAGAGAGTTTTTCAATGCTCTTTGGCATTTTGACTGACAGCAATGCGCATGACCGGGATCGTGTCCTTGAAGAAATCTGCACGATTTGCGAGAATTCTTTTTCGCCACAAGACATCGAAGAGATAAAGCCTGGAGAAACAAGGAGTGGAATAGTAACAGGCACCTCTGAGCATCGATCACGCTTGCCCCGCTCCTTTGGTCGTCGCTTTTTAGGCGCCTCGTCGTCATCCTTGCATGAAGGTAGAACGACACTTTGCCGCGGGCAACAAGCAATTGTCCCCCTTCTACAATTCCCTCGACTAGATAGTTTCAGAGTGTCCGAAAATCTTTGGAGCTTTGTTAAAAACCTAGCTCATCTCAGTCAGCCAAGGCCCATTGAATGCGTCCAGCCTCTTATCGCGAATGCGGGGACGGATGGTCCCGTCAACTTCAGTAAGTTACATTGTGTCACATGTTTTATAAGTCCCATCAGAGAAGGAAAAAGATAGAGTCCCATGATGAAATTATTTTTTTCTTTTCAGTGATTATGATAAACAATGCTGAAGATGCAGCGGCTGGGCTCCCTGCGGTGGATCTTGACGAAGTCGATGAGGGCAACGATAACAACCTTCTTGATAATGAGACAGTAAATGCAATCGTGAATGAGCCTGGAACGCCCGCATTGGAGGTCGATGCGACGTCGCTAATTATGCAGGCCATCGTGGCGGACGCATTTCGATCGCTGGACAGGGACGATGGACAGCAGCGCACCTCCGGCTCTAGTGCCGCCGCTGCCGCTGCTCTACCACCGTGCGTGTGCGAGGCGGTGGAGGAGTTGCACACTAGCCTGGTTAGCTGCTACTCACACCTCCTACTGCTCAGTGGTCGCTTGGAGACCACAGTAACAGAGTCGAGTCGACGCTTGGGCCAGGCGGTTAGTCGGCTACGTGCGGCTCTTGTCTGCACTCGTCGACGTAGCCTTCAAGCCCTTCATGCTGCAGCTTCTGCCTGGCGCACGCTTCGACACTCCATCGCCTACACACTTATTGACTGGGAGAGGGTGTGTCATCCACCAATCTCTTTTTCACCACCTCAGTGCATGTCAATGCTATTCTACTAAGTTTGCAACTTTCTCCTTAGCGTGGCGAAGCTTTTCATTCACTAAGCGCGTCATGCATCTTAAACACAATACACCTCATCGTAACTTATCGCCGATACCGTTGATTACAGAAGTTTCACAAATGCATTCATCCAAGTAGTGCATTGTCTTGATTTTCTGTATACTGTTTAAAATGTGGGCATCGTGCTTAGTTTTTGTGAGTAGGCTTTCGAAGGAAAATTTGCTACGAGTGACATTCATATGTTGGCAAATTGCACTGCGGGAGGAGAGAAAATAAGTTTGCACAACCAAATCCAAATATTGCATTTTATCTAATCATCCTCCTCACTTTTTTATTAATATTGCAACACCCCATCACAAATGCGGTATTTTAATCTCATGCTGAACTAGGGTGAAAAACATCAGTTCCTTTTGAAAGCATCCCTCTACTATCGTTATCCATTGTCTCTGGAACTGGTTATGTTAATCATCTCTTTTATCTTACACCGTAATAGACCCAATGCAGTTCACCCCGTGATCCACGTGTACGGGATTATAGCTTTCAGATCATTCGGTGTCATTGGACTCTGTTCTGCCACGATGATAATTGAAACAGGTTGTCTTGTTTCCGCAATAGTACCTGCGCCTGTTGGGCCCACGAAGTCACTTCTTCAGCAGCGACATGGCGGAACGCCACAAAACGGGTCTTTGCTACCTGATTCGTGCCGCATTCCACGCTCACGCGCGTCTGGCACCCGTTTCCAGGGGCATCTTCGGACGGGCTGATGGTGATGGTGACACTACTCGGATGCGCCAGTGGCTTCTGCAGCGCGATGACCCTGAGTGGTGGTGGTGGTATTGCTACTTTGCTCCTCAAGCAGGTAAAATTATTTCGAAACCTGCTTTCTTTGCCCTTCACATCAGCTTACCTCTTTCTATTTAGATGAAGATGCCAATTACTGTTGTTGCTCACATAGTCACACAAGGAAAGCATCACATTTGACTGAAAACGTTATGCGTATTGCTGTCACCCAGGACGCCATTCGTCTTTGGCGTCTCCTCCTGCCTGACTCTGGCAGCCTTTGCGACAATAAGCCTATCAACTTATCCTCAAGTCCTACGCGTCCTCCTCCTTCACCACTCTCCGTTTCCTTGGCACTCGAGACGCTTTCTCAATCACCTGATACTCTCGGTGTTCCCGCTAGTCTCCTCTGGGAGGTGAGTCGACCTGTTTCTCACTCCACCGAACTGACTGATTACACTCGGACCTTTTCTTCTCTTGCACTCTAGGCCGACATCACACACCTCTTCATCAGCCTCCTCTTCTTGCGCCCGGGTCTAGAGGGCGTGGACCAACGCGTGGAGTGCCAGCGAGTACAACTCCGTGAACGCGTCGTCATAGCAGAGGCAGTGGGCCAACTGCCTGATGTCGCTTGCAACGAGGGCTTTCCACGACTTCCCATGGGTGACTCACACGAGGCCTTCACTTTGCGCCTCTGCTACCTTGCTCTCCTTGTTCAAACTCTCCTCTCTTGGCAACCGCAACACTCTTTTGATGCGTCCATCAACGAAGCTCTGCGGGAGCCCTGTGCCATCCTCTGGATGAATGATAAGGTATGCTACTGCCTCTCACAATGACGTCGGAAATATCGACCTTATGCTTTAACGCCAATGACTTGTCTCTCTTACAGTTGTTAGCAGTACGCCGACGTTTGCAACACCTCTCCGGCCTTCCCATATGCACGGTTGAGCCCACATCACGAAATCTGACCCATCTGTTCACATACATCCACTCTCGGTGTCTTCCGTTCTTGCGTATTGCAGCTTTCATGATTTCTCAGATCACAAATCTCGACGTGCCCCCAGAATTGTCTCACCCACTTGAAGACAAACCTTCATGTACGTCTCCATCGCCCTCATACCACTCTCTTCACCCTGCGCACATCTGCTCGTGATTGTATTACCATCTATTGTACTTCAGACGAATTCAGCATGCTATTGGCATACCTGGGTCTGCCCCAATCGCCCTCCGATCTTCTTATTCTTCTCTCCGATGCAAATTGTGGTGTAGAAGAAATTGTATCACCTCCGTGCTTGACTGCAGAGGCATCAGCATCCAGCTCCCTCTGGTTAGCTAGTCTAATGACCTCCTGGTGTCTCCTCGGCCGGGATTCTGTCTCTCGATCTCTATATGCCAATCAACTCCTACCTGTTTATTTACCACCTTCACTGGACCTTAGATCAGCGATACCTCTTCTTCCCGAACCCAACATCAACCCTCCCCGTCTGATCCAATTACCCAAGGAGTATGTCTCCCTCATGGCTCTTGCGACGGAGCTCAAGTAAGCTCACATCATAGTAAATCCCTCAAATCATCTAAAAGCAACTGTCAATTGTTGTTACTTTCTCTAGGAGCGTGCACACCGGTAGCAACATCCACTCGGATCCAAGTCTATGTCTGGTGTGCGGGGCAGTGGCGTGTTTCGCCTGCTACAGCTGTCGACGGTTTGAGACAATCCCAGAGATGACTGTGAGTTCAGATAATGGCACTGTCAGCACTGTGGGGCGTCGAGAGGCCGTCGTCTACGATATTCAGGCGCACGTGCGTTGTAGCCACTCTGGATACGCCATGGTGATGCTTTTCACTGGTGGGGTTCTTCTCTTCTCCGATCAGGGCCGTCGGACCACAGAGCTGACGAGTCCCTACAGGGATGAGTTTGGCGAGCCCGATGTTGGTCTTCGGTGAGTGCATGTCCTTTTATCATCTGTGAAAACTCAAAAGTACGCTTTTTATGTGATTATTGAGCGCATGATTTACGCTTGTCTTTCTTCATGTAGACGAGGCAACCCGCTATTCCTCAATGAGAAAGCTTACGAGGAGTTGAATCAAATGTGGCTCAATCATCAGATGAACAGCGCGACATCGGCGAAGCTGTATCTCATCTAGTGAGCAGAGTCCCGTCTTTCACACACAGAGTAACGTCCTAACCACTTTTTTTATCTCAATCCACTCTGTCATCCTTCCCCCTGTTGTAGCCATCTGTTTTGTCATTGCCATCTTGAATCTTCGTAAAACCATTCGCCATCACCGCTACCGCCGATGGCTCGTGCATGCGTTAGAAGTGATTGGTTAGGCCAGGGCTTTATATTTCTCCTCATGGGCTCACTCACTCCACTGCTGCTATGCTCCGTCAGTGATATTTATACTTGATGTTTCATAAAAGACATTTATGATTACTTGGTGACTTTTCCTTACTTGTTAGCTTGCCGTTTCAGGGCGAACGTCACCGGTATATCGGTAATTTCAAGCAACCATTAAAAGCAGTGGCTTTGGCCGTAGGGTGGTTAGGTTGCGTCCCCTTTTCATACAGTCACGAACTATTTACATCAAAGTGTATACAAATTGTTAAACTATAGCAGTCAGTGCGATGAAGTGACAGAATTATGTGCGTCGGAACTTAGCATACATGACGAGTTTTCCTTGGAGTCTTGGCATCGGCTGGTCATTATGAGACACAGCTCAGGTGCATTACATGTTCAGGCGGGGTAGTGGAGTCACTTCCACTTTTTTTCCAAATGTTTGAAGTTGGGCATTGAACCTGTGAAAATTGGCTCCAAGATAATTGGGAGGCAAGTCCAGAAAAGTAATCGGGCGCCTTTTGCATTGTTTTCTCATGCACTGCATGATTAAGGGATCTCTTTATTTGAGTCGACTTGTGGAAACATTGTATTATTTTAAGGAATAAATGCAGCTGGTTAGATTATTTTTGTGGTCAGGAATGGCTGCGGTCATGGTGACGCGTGTTACAAAACAAATATCTTGCAATTTTTAAGCCTAAATAGAAATGATCTCACCAAAGCATCGGTTCGTCCACGACTTCACTGACTGAGTTGGCAAAACAACGTCAAACTTAGGTAAGAGGTAAGAAGTACTTCCTATAAGTCTATGTTGAGATATGAAGAATGCGGAATCTTTCATAAAGTGGTAACAGTTTTGCTTGTAGCATCTTGAGACTTCCCTGAAGACATAATGCTCGGGCCGAATATGTATTTTCGACCTGCAGACGGGCTTAGAGGCTGCTGGCATGTCCTGGAGGCCAGCTCACATGGCGAATGTACAATGGCTGAGTATCTAAGTGGTCCCTTTACCGAAACCGGGAGTTAATCAAACAGCCAATGCATTACATAGCCTCTCTCTCCTTTTGGGCGTTGTCCTCGGCACTCTTCTTGCTCAGTCTTCTACTTCAGCCACCACGACGTGGTCTGTGCTGTAAGAAAAACACTCACGAGACGGCTGTGCCAGTCTTAAATTTTTCATCCAACTGAGACGATATTTGACCGCAACGTCACTTGTTTCTGTTGGCAAGTCTACTGGATCTGGAGTTTCGTTTCGTTTGGGAGTTGCGCTAGGGGGACGATGGAATGTGCTGACCATTGCGCGTGCCAATAGCTAGCCGTAGGAATACTGGCCCAAAAACAGTCGTTTAGTAAGGGGCAGAGTTTCGAGCAGTTTCTTGGCGCTAAGGTTTATCATCCATTTCTGCTTGCCACTTTTCTCACTTCAGTGCTGCCCAACCAAATCTGTCTGGGTTCTATCCAGCCAGTAGAGAAGTGAGGGTGTCGGGAGTTTACATAATTCATGTTTTCATAAGGTGCAGTAGATAGCTGCATAACGAACTTTTCAGATGGTTAACGACCACGGCTAGGGTTGCTTCATTTGTTAATTTCCTGTAGGCTACAGGCCAGGGGTAATTACTGAAGGTAGACGTCATATTCAGACCTTCCGCTAGGGTTTGTTGCGCATTCTCCCGTCTACAATACACACGCTTCTTCCGCTCTGTTAAGGTTTATCACTCAGCAATAAAAAGTAGGATGGAAGTCCTTCAAGATTGTATTAGCTTTCCACCGCCGCCAATGTATCGTCCCGAAACTTCCCTGAAGACGAAGGCAAAGGTACATGGCGGAGCACCTTAGTGGGTTCTTCATCAAAAGCGAGAGTTAAACCAACAACCAGTGTATCTTATTTCTTTTTAGCAAAGCGTTTTTCGAAGTCTATTTGCTAGTAGGCAAGTTTTGCATTTGGTCGTTTAAAGACCAAGTAGATACGAACAACAGCCAAACAAGCAGATAGCGTATGAAGTGGAGGATACGCATAAACGAGACCATAAATGACTTAATATGCTCACATTAAAGCCTAAATGAGAACAATAGTGAGTCAATTTTGGTTGACCTACCCCGAAGTCCCATGACTCATCTCAAGGAGGTCGCCATTTCACATCATAATTTCACGGGCTTCAGAGGTGCAGTCATTGCGAAGAGCACCGTTAAAAAGGCGTCTCAAAATAAACCAACAATACCGTAAGGAAACTCGATGCAACGTATACTAGTATTTTTTCTTGTATTTTGCCCATTCACTGTGGGAATATTTGTTGCAAGATTTAGTTATTGTTTTGTACCAAATGAAATGCCTGTTCCGATCACGTATAGGTGATAGCAATAACGTCGACGAATGGCCAACCAGCGTATCACCGTAGCAGCCGCCACAATACCAGACACAGTAAGGAAAGAGACAGTAACCTCATAATTATTTGCAGGTCAGAGTAGAGAGTATATCAATCGCAGAACCGTTGTGATGCAAGGTCCTATTTTGGTGTGTCACGCCAAAAGAGTTTTAGTAGAAGCTACCTTGTCTGCAAAGGCAAGTGGTATGGCGTGTTAGCTAAGCAGTCAATGCACGATACGGTTGACGTCGGCAATTCAGACGCCATAGTGCCTGGGGCTTTAGTTCTAATGAATTCAGCATTCATTTTCACTACCACCGATGCATCAATAGGGTCAAATTCAGGTGAGGCAAGTTAATCCTCTCAAAAGAGTCCCTTATTCGACGTATAAAGGAGTACTCGCTGTGGTGTATAAAGCTGAATATTGAAAGCTAAATCTGGAGAAGCAGTTATTTGGGAAAAGGTCAAGAGTAGGCTGAGTGTGTAAATATGAAACCACTCCTAATACGCCTTTGACATTCAGCTATTGAATAACTCAGTCGAAAATGTGCTTCCTAAAAATAGTTTTTCCAAGACTTGTGTTTTACTGCTTTTAAAGTGGGAATTATGATGAAATATGTCTTTAGTAGTGTTCTTGAAATATGGATGTGGGTGTCTATTTGAGAACCTGTTGGTGAGGGCCTGTTGAGTACCTGTCAAAAAAATTATGCCGATGCAGGCAACACTGCCTAAACTACTCTCGATAAACCAGTATGTTGTATTTGACGACGCAAGAAAATAAAGCTCTACTGGGCAACATCCACACAAAAGAAATCACCTTGGTTCAAGATGGTGGAATAAACGGTCTTACTAATTCCACTAGGTTGGATTACGGATGCACCTGTAGAGGTCCAGTTGACTCTATCGTATCTGTCTCAGGTAAGTGACTTAACGATTACTAGGCCATCGAAGTTCAGACTCGAACAAAATAATCCCGAGATGTTACATGCCTTAAATCCAGAAGCCAGACGACAGGTGCAATTTCCACTGAGCTGCACACAATTATTTTATTCAAAAACAAACATGGGGAAAAATAATCATGAGGAACCTCTTAACCCAACAAACCTAATCAATGCACAATGGTTATTCCGACTGAGAGAATCTTAAAAACGTCCCAGCGGCTCTAAAGTGGGTTCTGAGAATTGAAAAGTAGAAGAGGTTCCCCACTGCTAGCAAGTTCGTTCTCTTTTTAGATTTTATGATAATACCTCAGGAAGTCTGGAGACTAGATTGTGGTGCAACAGAAATTTGCTGTTTTCAACATTTTTGTAGGTGAATATGGGATGTAGTGCTCTGTGTGATGTAGCAAGAAGTTGGCAGAGTACAGTTTAGTACAGGGCTCAGAAGCCGCTTTAAAGAGAAAATAACGAACTGATACAACACATAACAAAATGTGAAGATCCATATTAAAGTGGGTGGTAGTTTTTTAGTTATACGTGGGCGTAAGAACAAAGTACAGACGCAACTTCTACCAACGGTTGCACTTGATGAGATGTTTGATGCATTCTGGCTCAGCAAAAAGTCAACAATTGTGCCGTAGTGGGCCGATGAATATAAAACCTGCAACAACGCTTAATGGGATGAAGCCACCACCTTGACAGGGCAAAAAATAACGAGTGTTATCAGCTGCCTAAACATCCTGCAGTAGCTTTAATCTAGCCCTGAATTTTGCTTGAATTTGTCATTTGGTTACTACGGTCCCATACGTATGGAAGTAGCAATAGAAATATAAATGTTTACCGGAATTATGAAACATGCTTGAATTTGAGCAAAATGTGAAGAAATTTTCTCCACACAGGCTACCGTTGTATCTTGAAAATAAGAGACTTTTACTGCTTCCGATCGCCATGTGAATACTTGAATTGAATGCAAAACGCTGAAAAAGAATATTTGCATAACTGATTCCCAGTATGAACGACTTTTCAACTAATAATTTTACTAATTCCAAATGGATAATCGTCGTTTCATATCAGTTGAAGTTAACATATTTTAGTGAATTTTTACATTCATTTTTGAGTAATCATGATGGAAACTTCACATCTCATAGGCTCAGATGTGAGCCTCCTGCTAGGATTCTTAAAGTACAGGTTTCCCCTCTTGTCATCTCAGAAAGTTGGATAGAGGCTAGCTGGAGTAATTTTGCCATCAGGTATACAATTGGATATTAAACGATATCCTCTTCAAACGCTTCTGTGAAGCAGTGACTAGGTACATTAAAGATAAAAAGCTCTTTTATCAGATAGATCATAGGTACCTTTTTAAAAGATTCTGGATTTGTACTTTAATTAGCTTGCTTTAAGGGAATATTTGAATATTCTTTAGCGATTGGGTTAGAAAAAACAGAGGCATCGTACAAATTTCGGAGAAAATAACGTGATTATAGAGATCGCGCTAATAATTACGTGTTCTTGAGATTCAGAGCCTCCCTTTAAATTGCCTCTTGTTTAAAGGAAGTGAATTTGATTGCAAAAGGAAGATAAAGCAAAGGTAACTGGTTCCACACCAGAATAAAAAAACATCTGGATGTCTGTGGTAGTACAGTTTCCTCAAAGGTCATGGCAAACAATAAAAATACTTCTAACGATCTCCAAATAAAATCTCTAACCCTGATAAACCTAGCAATACTGATTAAATAAACTGCGAACTTGAGTTGCTCCCAAACAAAGTTTAACCACTGCCTATGGAGTTGGTATTTTAATCTTTTTAACTTTTACAGGGTAAAGACAATTTGTGAAAGGTCACTTTAATAAGCCACCCCGTTACCGCCAGCGTATACGTTTCCACTAAAAACGCACGTACAAAAAATCAAATGAATGTATTTTTAGGCACCTCAAAGTCTAGAATGAGGCACTGAAGTTGCAGACAATTGGAGCCGCAATCACCGAAATTATCTGACAACCTAACTAGGTTTATAAAGCAAAATTACCCCCGCTGGGAGTTGGAAGCACCCACCTTTGTTTAAGTGAATGGGCAGCGAGTCCTCCAAATTTTGAGCGGAGAAAGCGAATGCTTGACTAATGCTGCTCCTTCCCCCATGCACTGCGATTGGGATTGGTACCACCCGAGGCGTCAGCTTAAGGGAATAGGATTATTTAAGGTGAGAACGAACATTAGGTGGCTGAGTCGATGCACACAGTGGTGCGCGCCAAATCTGCCGTTCTGTCTTAATATCATGGAAGTTTGGAACATATTTCGGGGGGATTCCTCGTGCAGAAAAGGTACAAAACAAATTTTAGAAGGCGATGTTAAACCCGTTGCAATGAGGAAGTGTGAACATACTTAGCAAATCTGTGTATCTTCTCTGGCGAAAGAAAAATCCTTCTGCTTGAAATTGCGTCGCCGGACGACTTCCTAGCACATATTCGCTTCTCGGGGATATTATTTTGAAAAACGCGATGTAAGAAATCAAATTCCGTACACGAATACAAATCGTACCGCAGAAAAGACAGGTTTTATCACTTTAAGCATTTTAAGGAATTAGAACAGAAAAGGTTAATGCTATTCAGGCATTGAATTTACATAAACCAAAGCTCGTAACAGCTGAATTTACATGCCAAAACTTCAGCGGCACAAATCTTCCCGGATCCGCAATAACCCACTGCTATGGGAGGTCATAAATTATTGACCCATTTTATAGTTGTGAGGCTACTAGCATGACCTCGGGGGCATATCACATGGTGGAAGTACAACCTGCGGAGATTGAGGTGATCCTGTAATTACACAATGTATCAGATCACTAAGAAGTCACTCATAAACCGATTTACAAGTTATCAAATTACACACTGCACTAACACGTACCGTGTATGCCTTACGTGATACGTAATTGTTTGAGCAAATCTTTTAAGTGGAAAGCAGTCAGTATATGCTATGCGATGGAGGGGACGCCTTTGACAACTCTGGAAGAGATGAAGTTCAATTCCTTTTTGAGCAGTGATAACCTGGAAACCCCCTAACCTACTGTTCCAATGGAAGATGTCATCCTACACACGCTCTTCTTGTTTCAAGAGTATGAAACCAGAAGCAGAAGAGGGAAGTGTGGAATCCGTTGCACATGGTCAAGTGATCAATAAAACTCCAAAGGCATCGACTAACTTACACAAATTTCAGTTTACCTGAGTCGAAATTTTTTAATGCTATATCGATGTTTTGCATAGGTTACTCATTTAACTCTGGTTTTAATAACATGCCACGCAGGGGATCCCCCATGAATTTCTGCCGGGCGGCTTGCCCACCGGACCATGCTAGTAGCCCCCTCTTGGCCCTTCTGTACGCCGGCGATACCTGTTCTGTCTGAGCATTGTCTTCTTTCATCCTCAAGGAAGTCCTGATGAAGTATAGTAACTCCAATAACGGAAGGTGCAAATCGATTTCAGGTCTTCAAATATCCTAGTTGTTTTTTCGCAAATAATGCAATAGTGGTTTGAAATTGTCATTTATTCCTCAGAACTTTAGCGGATGACACAAATAAAAACTAGTGGTTCATCATTTTGTTGTAACGCCCGAGACTTTCCTGAAATCGAGAGAAGACATAAAACTCGAGGAGAATATGTTTATTAGCTATATAGTAGGTATTGGGGGATAATAAAGTGGTTCAGATGCCGGGCCGCTTAATACAGGTACAACGGCAGAGCCCTTAATCAGCTAGTTATCGAAATCAAGAGTTCAAAACCGTTAACGCATTGCATAGTAGCCATATCGGTCAGAGCTATTCATGTGACAAGTACATATATTGGCTCCACTTGCATTGAGCCCAAGCGACTAAAACCGTATAGTTTTTCTGCCGGCTACATGTGCAAATTGATTTAACAGTGTAACTTACTGGCATAGAAAGACCAAAGTTCCGGAGAAAGCAAAGTGTACTTCCACCTTCGTCAGCGTTTTAGCCTATGCAGATACGAAATCTTGTGTCCAAAGTGAACAATTTTAAACTAGATTAAAGAAGATTTCGTTTGAATCTACTAACTGATGCACCGACTATTGCAAATATATTTGGCGTCTGTCTTGGTCATAAAATTTATAAATGAGCGTATTTAAATTTCGAGGTGAACTCATTGGACACACGAGTGATGTGAGAGGCCTTTGTTGTTCTCGAGATGGCATGCTTGTCTCGTCTTCGCGAGATATGTCGATTCGGTCCTGGAAACTCGATAAGTATGCTCATGTCGACTGCACACGTGTGCTTCATCTAAATGTGGCATTGACATGGTTTGGATTTGCGATTGCTTTATTGAGAATCCAGTCTTTTTTCTAACAGCAGTTGGTTTGTTCTTCTTTTGGTTCTATCTTTCATCAGCGAGGCCCTTTTTCTTAATTTCAGGGGAACAGCTAATACCAGTGCAGGAAAAGTATATACAAAACACGACAATTATGTAACGACAGTAGTGTTCGCGAAACCTACAGAAACGTTTCCAAGCGGTCTTATACTGACGGGCTCGAATGATAATCTTATTCGAGCATTTCTCGAGGATGAGTCGGATCCGGTTTTCGTCCTGCATGGTCATACTGACACAGGTTTGTTCGAACCCTAATTATGATTTTATCCACTAGTTTGCACTCTTGATTCCAATTCTAACGGTCTCATTGCTAGCGGTTCATGGGATTCAACAGCTAGGTTATGGAATTACGATTCTTGCATCGGCAAACTCCAACGTAAGTCCTTTTGTTTTATTGGTATTTTGCCTTTTCTTCTCAAATTAATTAAGAAACTCTATCATAGGTCCAGGAACGACGATATGGTCAGTCAGTTTTCTACCCCAGCCCCATCCAGATGAATATCAGATCGCTACAGGCTCGTCAGATGCGGTAATAGCCATCTGGCGTATACCAAGCGCTTCGCTCGGCCGAGGTTCCCTTGCTTATGAGTCTGTAACGCCCTCAAGACTTCTAAGAGGTCACACAGACTGCGTTCGTTCCCTGGCTCTCCTCGACGTCGACCGTCTTCTCTCGGCTAGCAATGACGGAAGCCTGCGTTGCTGGAGTCTCGACTCTGGAACTTGCATTGCGGAGTTTTATGGTCACACAAGCTTTGTCTACTCCGTGGCCGTTGATCCCAATCATCAGTTCATTGTCTCATCTGGAGAGGATAGGACAGCTCGCGTCTGGCCCATTCCCGAAGTGGGTGTTAATTCGATGCAGCAGTTAGAGTGCCAACAGACCATCTTCCTACCCTGTCAGACTGCATGGTGCGTGGTGGTCACAGTTGATGGTGATATCGCTGTTGGATGCAGGTGGGTTATTTAGTTGCCATATCTCGGGGTTAGTTTAACAAATTCCCTTAATGTACCTTTCCGCCTTCCCAGCGATAATAGGATTCGTTTGTTTTCGCGCAATCCTGAACGTCAAGCGTCGGACTCGGCGTTAGAAGCGTACGACACTGAACTGGCCTCCTTTCAGGTGGCTGAGGGGACTCTCGGTGAACTTGACAGGCATAATTTACCCGGCATTGAAGCTCTCACAGTTCCTGGTAACTAACGTTTCCGCCACCTATATATTCTTGAGCGCTGTGTACTGATTCAGTTGAATGTCCATGCAACTATTATAACATTTCGTTTAAATGTTCATTTCCTCAAAATTATGCGCAATATTTTTTAAATAGTAATTAAATTGACTTTGAACTTTTATATTTAGACTGACTATTAGGGTCCAATAGGTCGGTTTTTTTGGATTTTAATGGGATTGTTTGATTGTTTGATTTTTTAATTCTCAGTTCAATCGACTGGTTCATTGTTTTCGGAGATTGAAGTTCTTCGATGTTCAATAATTACATGATGTTGTGGTTCAATAATCGTTTCCTTGAATGGGCACGAGTCGTTATTATTATTACTAAATTGCTAGCGCCAGTGATAGCCTTTTTTATGTTATCGGTTGTTTGTTATCCGCATAAGTTTATAAAAGTAAGTCCTATTGCCATTTGCAATTGAAGGAACTCGAGTCAGGGCAGATGTAAGTTCTTACTGGGTTCCTGTTAGTAGACACTATTTTCCCTTCGAATTGAAAGGCCGAAGCGAGGGTCAGATAATGGTAATTCGGGAGGAGTCGGGTGTGGTGTGCTACCAATGGTCGACGTGTGAGTCAAGATGGGTGAAAGTCGGCGACGTTGTGGGCTCCGCGGAGCACTCCGCCTCTGGGTCCAACCGCATTCTTTTCGAGGGCAAGGTCAGTGCTTCCGCTGCCCTCCCGAAACTACTTTTTTCCCACCCACCCATTCCAAATCCATGGTCATTGCCTATCTTCATTATTGTAGGAGTACGATTACGTGTTCACGGTTGACTTCGCTGATAATATGCCAGCGGTTAAACTGCCCTTCAACAAGATGGATGATCCCTGGGTGGTAGCGCAAGCCTTCTTGCACAAACACAATCTACCACAGGACTACCTGGACACAGTGGCTAAGTACATAATTAAGCAGGCCGGTCTGGAGAGCTCTAACATCAGTAAGGATAGCGGGAACGAGTTTTTCGATCCTTACACTGGTTCTGGTCGCTATGTTCCCACCGGATCGACCGATCAAAAGCCCAGCGTCCATTTTCCTGCTAAAGAGTTCATCACTTTGGAGGCTATCAATGTCAAATTGGTCTTGTGTGAGTTAGCTTTTGCCTTTTTTGTGCAAGCACGTTGAAAACACGGGCAACTAATTTAGTTAAATAAAGACGGTCTTGTAATGCTGCCCCGGAATCAGTTAGATGTAGACTTAGTCACTCTCACTTGCTCTGGAATTATAAATCTTGTTTTTTCAAGCACTAATAATGCAAACAAAAGTACCACGATGCTCTAGATTTACAAAATTTGTGAATTATATCAATATTCTTAAACCTAACTTGCTTCAACATCCGACGTTCTTGCGTATACGATTGTACCTAGTTATCTATTTGCGATGTTCTAATGTTAATGATAAAATAATAATTGTACTACTGTGGTTTACTTTCGTCTGACACGATCTTTGAATATTTGAGACTCACACGAACTGGAAAATTCGGTGTTAATTATTGCTGACTGCGGGCTGCACTTTGCCTCAAGGATCACTCTGGTAGTCGTTTATCCACAAGTGTTTCGGGCTCACAAGGCCTTCCTTACGTTAAGGCGGGACAAGATTGCACCTAACCCATTAAAGGTAGCTGCATAATTAGCCTTCTACTACAATTTGTCGAAAACAGTTTCTTGAGCCCGATTATATAATGCCTCGGTTAATGTTCATGATATTGGCAAACGGTTTATCAGTTTCAATTTTTCTGACATCGAAATGAACTGAAGACCTTTTTTAGGTGTTGTTTGTGAACAGGTCTCTTATAATCTTTTCTACTGTTAAGCCATAAAAAAATGCTTTTTCTCTGACATTAATGGGCCGTAACGAGTTTAAATATTATAGCTACATGATTTGAGGTGGAAGTGAATGGGGCTAGAGGCTCTAATTTATAAATTAGGTGCACACTTAGTGGTTTAATACAGCTTGCTAAAAATTCATCTTCATCGGCCTTTTATTGCATGACAGTGGTTCGAACCTATTCACACTGGAATGGACTAAAGACCTACCTCAAATATTTTGCCGTAATTAGACTGCATATCCTCCCTAGGGGGTGTTTTACATAGTTGATTCATATTTCCTAACTAGAATTCCCCTCTATTTGCCTTGTTTAGCGAAACTGAAGGAGTTCAACTCGACTGCTCCAAAGGGCCTCTCGGACAAGACACTACAGCTAGTGGAGAATATGAGCCCCGAGATGTCGGAGGAGAATGCTCTGCATCTGACGCTGTCTATTCTGGAGCTTATTGAACTGTGGCCAAGTGGTATGTTCATTGATAGCAACGCTACTCGTTAAGATCACGACCCATTGCCTTATTACTCCTATTCATACCATCAATAGCTGGGCTACATCTCAAATTTGAACATTTCGGTTCAACGCTTCAGAATACTCCCATGTCCCTATGCCGGTTGCTATTTAAACTTTAATATTTACTACATAAATCGAAACTTACATGGTCTGCCTCAATATTTGCACTGCACTCCCACTTTATTTGATTTGAATGGAATGGTTTCAATGTGGTCTTCTTACTTTTTTTTTTCAATTCGTGCAAGCTACTTAAAACCACTGAATTTATTTAGTGTAGGCATGTTAGCTTCAAGTAATTCTGAAGGAGAACTTCTGCTTGATTAAATTTCGACATTTTAATATCTTCACTTCTCGTGACAAGTAGTTACTATAGCAATTCACTGGCTCTTTTTTGTGAAATCCTGAAAGCACGAAAAATGTCTGAAATTTTAATTTTAGCAAATTGGAATAATATATATTTCAGCTGAAGGGTACACTGAGGCTCGGCTGACGGAGTGACATCCTCTTCTTTTAATGTTTTATTGAATGAAAACCCTTACTAAGTATTGCGGTAAGCGTTCAATTACTTTCCTTGAGGCCTGAAAAAAGTATTTACTGTAGATTTATAGGAATTCATGTTTTACATTTGAGTCGCTTGATTATCTTGCCGATACTTATTTTGAAAGCCTCAACGTAGTGCCTTTTTGGCATCGAACTCCTGCTAGTATCGAATAAATTTTTGGCGCGATAAGGTTAGAATTGCATTTCTTAAAACAGGTTTTCAAGCTTTACAATAGATTTATGCATTTTTTCTACCTACCTTTCGTTGCTACAACCTCATTACTGTAAAACGTTTTGGGTGGTAGTAATTTTTAGTTACCATCTCTTATCTTCCCAACAAAGAACGCTTTCACTTATCCACATCCTTTATAAAATTGTTCTGAAGCAAATCAGTTAATCCCGAATCTATGGAAAGGGATGCGACCATCACAGGCGAATGACGCAATGCTTCTGAGTATATTTGAACAGATTTGCAAGAGTAGTTTTTTGTTTTTCAATTCACAATTTACAAACCCTGACCACTGAATGAACTTATGCTTTTGTTAATGCTAAAAGCGATTCAGTTAAAAACTGGCCATAAGGAAGTTCAGGTGATTTCATGCAATTCGAACTTCTCTGACTGCT